TCCTATGAAAAGTTCCTCTCCAGCGAATGAGGTTGATTTTTCATTTGTCCCCTCTTAATCAGAAAGAACCGTTTAGTGCTTACTGTACCGTCCCTCATTTAACTGTCCCTTTAGGGATACCTAAACATTTCACACCGGCCACACTGCAAAGTCTTGTATATCTCCGCCTCCTCTGCTATGATTCACGCAAATGAATTGGTTTTGTCTGCATCCTCTGGAAAAACATCTTGCGCTTTTCTTGTCATTAGTATGTTCTCTGTTCTTCTCCGCACCTTACCTTGTCTTGTGCCAAGAAACAGACTCATCTTCTACGCAGTCATAAGCTGTCAGCATTTAACAAAATTATATAAGTTATGTAAGCGATATTACGATTTCCATAAAATCATAGGTACTTCTGCACACTTTCACTCATCTCCGTCTCTATGCCACACAGTGTCTTTAACCGGCTGACTTTGCGGTTCTACGCCGGGGGTGTCCGCCAGCATGGGTCCGTGAACTCCACCTTTGCCCACTACAGTGCTACTTTTCGTCACAAGACCGCACGCAAACTAGTCCAAATTTAGCTACGCATCTTGCAACGGAAAGCAGTAGTGTAGTCGGAGAACAATCGGTGCAGACGAGGTGAAGTCTTCTCACGAAAGTCAACAAGCTAACTATGATGGTCTCTCGTAGAAAGCGAGAAATTACGTAAGAAACTATTGATAAGTTACCCTCCCTCCCTCCCCTCCTCCCCCCATGGACAACGCCCGTTACATCATCAGCGTTGGACAAGCTACTTACTGATTACAGAAATCTAAGTAAAAACTCCTGTGAACTAAAACAACCCAAAGGAAAAAATAATGACACTCACCGCTGTCATAAAGAACACCACTGAAGCTTTATATTGTCTCCCATGAGTGTAACTACTAGTAGCGAGAGGTTAAACAATAAATCATTGGTATGGAAATATACTCTATCACTTCAATTGACCCGCACCACACTTTTTTTTCTAGCGATTCCATCATTCAACTCGTCTCCTCGGCTAGCTCGAGGATTTCATTTTCTTCAAGAGCGTCGTAGAATAATGTAAGACGTTCGTTACTAGCCATGGAGTGTCGGGGTGGGGGATCAAACCCGCGCAGAGTCGCACAGAGCATCACTAGACACTCGGTCACAGCTATCGGTATAGAAGAAAACATAATGTTGGAAAAATGCAAACGCTCACCGTGGGTGGAATGAAGACCTTAGCATTAGCTTCTCCAACAGCCTGGATGTTTTCTTTCCGTTGCTGTTCAAAAACGCTCTCGTCATTTGTATTCTGAGAAGAATTAATAAAGTCAAACAACCACGCAGACTGAATAAAGTACAAAATACATATGAACACGAAACCCAGAAGAATGGGTAAGTATGAACAGATTAATAAAAATAAACCCAAAAACAAACGCACTCTCTCATTGACAGTTTTTAGAACATCATTCGCTCTAAATTTCAACGTAGAAGGATCGACAGCCCTGATGTTCTGAATTCTTTCTCTATTATATTGAAATTTCACAGACAGAAACAAGAATGGGAAATAAACGTAGTACTAAACGTACTTTTCCGAAAGAGATCCACCTCGGTGCTTTCGAATCACTTCGAACTGCCAATTCATTTTCTCCAAAGGAGTGCTGGAATTCCAATACCTTCACTCTACAAGGTATAAAACGAGCAAAGTTCTAATGCAAAGAGGTATTGGAATAGCATTGTACATATATATATATGCATATTATATATATATTATATATAAGGAGCGCATGTGGCGCAGTGGTTAGAGGTGCCCTGCGTCGCACACGAGGTCAATGGTTCGATCTCGCGCTCATGGCCCACCAAGCCATCCATCCCTCCGGGGTCGGTAGATTGGTACCAGACAGGTCTCAGACTTGTCTGGTAGGATAAGCAGCACCGACTCGGTTCAGCGGGAGGCCACCGCGAGTCATTGTAAAGGCCAGATATGCATTCAATCACCTTGAACGAATTTAAAAATTGAAGTCGAATGCATGGCGCATCCCTCAGGGATTGATCAACGCCGAGAGCTTTATCCTTTTTTTATACACATATATATATACGTACATATATATACATATATGTGTATATATTTGCATAAAATGTATACATTTACATAACAAGGAACACTCTATAAATACAAGATTTTATTGATCCGTCATCATAGTATTTTTTCCATTGTGCGGATCCTACTACTTCTAGCATTCGATTCGCTTTTTCTTCGTAAACGTCGTAGAATACTGGCTCTCACGTCTCCCTATAATCTCGTGGATCACCTGGCTGCGGTGTTCCATAGGGCGTTGTTGCTGAGTGCTGGAGAGACTTGTGTCCACATGCGCAGCAACAAGCATCATAACCACTCAGCCACGGCGCTCCGAGATAAATGTTCAGCTTTTACATGACAATATACGTTGATCTTCACTTATATCTGAGCAGGTAAATCAACCGCCTTGGATCCGCCGTATTGGATGCTTTACGTTCTGGTCCATCGTAGGTCTTTCTTTCGCAAAAATCGTAGAAAATGAAGCTCTCAGTGTTGATCATTTCCTAAGAGATGCGCTATTTATTTGACTTCACCAAACATCGTTAGAGATGACTCGATGCATATCTGACCTTTACAATTACTCGCAGTAACGTACCAATGTGTCAAGTAAGTGCTGATATCCTAGAGAAGCCTGGTCACGGATACCACTGGCCTCGAAGTTATGAAGAGCTTGGTGAGCCTCGTGTATGAGATCGAACCAACGGCCGTCGATCAGAGTACAGAAAGTCGCAGGGCACCTCAAACCACTGTGCTACACGCATTCCTTTTGCGTCTTTGTTTTCCATTAACAAATGATGAACCATATACCAGTGTACCACGTATCACTGCTTTACTACCACTTTGCAGATCAAGCCTTCAGATATGTTGCAGGCTGAAGGTTCAAACATAGCTAGTGTCATAGATAAGCAAGATGTGCGACATCTCTGTAGACTGCGGCATCGCACATGAGTCACACAGTGCCTGCTAGCAGTTCTAACAATATACTATCATGAAAAATGGTGTCAGTAACCACATATATGGCTCACTCCGGAGGGAACGCGTTTGAAGCAGTGCTTACAGGAGCCCTGCGAGACCTACGTGATCAATGGTTTGTTCCCGCGTTCAAGACACCAAGCCTTCTGCCACTTCATGGTCGGTGAATTGGCACCACACTTGTCTGGGAGGATAGGAGCACCTACTTGATACATCGGCAGACTACCACGAGTAATTAGAAAAGCCAGATGTGCGTGTGTGTTGCAATTATCTTGATGAAGTCGAATGCATGGCGCAACCCTCAGAGATTGATCAACCCCGAGAGCTTCATTCTTCTATAGTTTTATGGCTCATACGTGATATGTAGATAGGTCCCTATGAGTGGGTTTAAATTCAAAGGATATGCAACGAAAAGGGCGCAGGCTCGAGGCCTCAACCATATCAAACTGGACGCGGCGCTCTAAATGTTGAATTGAGAAGACCACGTTGAGAAAGGTTCACCCTAAGGTTACAAAATAGTGGCTTATATGAAACGTACCCGCTCAATCATCCATTTATCTATTAACTTATCCACGCGTCCGCCGATCACCGTCGTATTTGAAGAATCCAATATGAGGAAACCGTTCTCCACTTTAACAACCCCGGAAATTAGCAGCTTGGTACCAGGTGGTGTATCAGCACTGAATTGAGATTTAGCGCTTGATCAAAGTAGAATTAGAGACTGTTACTGATAGAAGAAAGGCGTTATCAAAAGAAAACATGCCTGATTCCTTTTACTTTACTTAGCAGAACACCAGAAACCGATGAGTGGCCATCGGTGAGGTACATTCGCCCCACATCATCGCTACCGTTCAAACCATCCTTCAGTTTTGGCTGTGATACATTTCTAAAATAAGCCTCACAATTCACTAATAGTCAGTAGAGATTCGCAACAAAATACCGATGCATCAGAAGTTTTATTTTGCTGTTCTCATAATTAGTAGCTGATGTCATGATTATAATCCAAGGATGCTGAGTGACATGCAAGATTTTCGATCCTGGGAAGGAGTTGAACCCGCGTTTCACCCATGCCGATGGCGCATGCTAACGCTGCAGAACTACAGAAACAAGGCTATCGCTCAGTTAACATTTCCTTGCATAAAAGATCTTGAGAAACTTTTTAAGAAAGAGTGATAGCACAACGGTGAGCTCGGTGGTGTAGAGGTAGCACGCGTAGCCGATTAGGATGAAACTCAGACTTGATTCCCGACTAGGGTCGAAAGTTTTGTATATCACTCGGCATCCTGGAATATAAAAGTGATCTTCAGTTTGTACTGTAAATAATGCAACCACCTGTATCTAATCAGTTGGAGGACAACAGGACCATTGAGCGTCTCCTTATTCAAATTATTTGACAAACATGGCTCGCCAAAATCACGAATATCGAGCTGAAATCATAAAAGCTACCAGATTTACTCTACGCCGATACAAATATAGAACAAGTACCATGAAGAACCTTAAACTTTGAAGACCATGAGAGTCATTTTGATGCTCACCACGTTACGTCTGATCTTACTCAGCTACAATGATGGCGGCGTCGCATCTCGTGGTAATGCAGGCAGACAGCCAGACATGCAGAGCCGCTTGTCTGACTGCCGCGCAAGTGACGGCACGACGCCGCCTCCCTAACAACGCTGGTTCTCAAAGGGTTGAGCCAACTTTCCATTCATTAAAACCCTGAGGCGAACAAAGAACAAGGAACTTAAAAAGCTTTATAGGCAACACTTACATCACAAAGTTTATTCTCTAGTATCCTTCTATCGGAAGGTATAGAACTTCCTTCGAATAACTCAGTTAGAATCCCTTCCTTGACATGCCATCCAGAGCCAGAAGTCATAAAAGCTGCAAGAATAATACGGCTTTGTCTCAGAAGAATGGACACATTGATGATACCGAAAGATGCCAAGTGATATACAAAACTACCGATCCCGGTCGGGAGTTGAACCCCTGAGTTAAACCTGTACCAGAGGCGCGTGCTACCACTACACCAGCGAGGCCACCAATCTGCTACCATTTTTCTTCAATACAAAGTATCGAAGCTGAATGTACTAAACACCGATATGTGCTTAACAGACCAAACCCGTTAACGGTCGGTTGCTGACAACTTCAATGTTCTATGTCGACGAAAGAGTGGTGTAAGAACAGTGTCCACGATGGTTAAGTGGTAGCAATCCCCCTCCCTGCTTATAAGTGAAGCATGGGTTCAACTCCTCTCAGAGGTTGACTGTTTTGCATATTTCTCAGTATATAGGATGTAAAGTTACAACATCATAACAATGCTAAAAGGCAGTATTATGGGAATTCCAATAGATAATACTCATAGTATTCGGGTTGATTTTACCCGAAATCTCAGAGCATTTTAATTCAAAAAACTTCATTTCAAATAACCTGATACAAAAGTTCTTCGAGGATTGAGTTGATGATCAAAAAACTTACAAACCGTCACTCATAACGACAAGTACAATGATACACCGAGAAGTAGAAAATCCGTGACAAACAACGAAATGTCTAATATTCTTTGGTCTCAAATATTTAGATAGCATTTTATAATCTCCAATTAATTGGTCATTCAATCAGCTCAATCAATGCTTGATAACAACAGAAAACTAGCAATCAATTTAGAAAACTATACAAAAAACAAAGAAATCAATAAGTACTAAACAAATCTCAAAAAAAAACCAAAGCTAGAGATCCACTATCTGTCGTAAAGGGACTGTACAGCAATAATAATTAGAAGGACGAGAAACCTCTCTCAGATAACACTCTCGTCCGATCGACGGAAGACGCTGAAATGAGTAACACAAAATAACGAAAGAACAAATAATTCTGTTTCGCAGCTTCAAGAAAGTCGTGTTAAGTCGATCAATACCGAGCTGTTCTCATATACGGAAAAACTCTTACATTGTAAGTTTTCGCATATCGATGAAGACTTTTAGTGCTGATTTACTAACAGCTTAGTTTACTAATGAAAGTAGGTACAACCTACAAAATCCTTAATTCACCGCTCTTAACTATGCTATGATGTTACAATTGTATATATTAGCTAGCTCCATAAGTTCTGGCACTTAAGTAATAAACGCCAAATTTTTCACCAGAAGTAAATGAAATTGCATGATTTTGGTATCATTCAAGTGCGCATTTTCCTGCAAACATTTTGGTAAACAGTTTGCCTATATTTGTTCTAAGATGGAGCTGTTTTGGGAACATTTTCTCTTGCTACTCATGCATGAATGGCGCGTAGGGGCTAGTGAAGTGACGCGTAAGATTTAGGGAAATTGGAACGGTGAAACGTTCGAAGAATTGACGGTTAGGAAGTGGTTCGCGAAGGTCAAAGCTAAAGAGAACAAAATGCCTGATAATTATCTTTTGAGCCATGCATGTGGCCTGTTATTTACACTTGTTACTTATAGAGCACAATACACTTGTTTCGGCCTTAGCAGCCTCGTCAGTTGGGCAGTACTCTTCGTCCTAGCCACTCTTCTTGGGGAAAACTCAGTTTCCTTACATAGCGTAGGCGATGACGTATTATTTACACGTGCCGTCACTTGAAAGGAATTACTAGATGGTATGTTTTTACCCTAGACTGCTCTTGGTCGCTACATATGAAATATCATACTGTATGTTTCGAGTGCTTTCTCCAGACCACGCTCAAGTTTCAACATGCCTGATAATTATCGAATATAGAAGCCAAGAGCAATCAAGTGTAAAAGCACTGTTTATTCAGTGATTTCTTTCACTTAATAGCACGTGCAAATAGCACGTCATCACCAATTCTATGAAAAAAAGGAGGTTAAGTTTCTTCCAAGACTATTGCCTAAGACGAAGGGTAGCGCCCAACTGACGCAGCTGCTAAAGCCGAAACACGTGCACTGGGGCTTTTTGAGTGACCATAGCAGACCAGATGAATGGCTCAAAAGATAATCATCAGGCATATTGAAATCTGAGCGTGGTTCTAGGGAAACACTCGAAAACAACTGCAGTGAAGAGTCTGGAGGATCAGTTAAGCTTGTGCCGACCACAAGAAGTTCCAATAATCTTGCACACCGTTTTGTTAGCGTGTTTCCCTTAGGGCCATTCATGTACGAGCGATAAGCAAATTTCCTTTCACGATAGCTTCATCTTAAAGCTAGTATAATCGATTTGTATACCAAAATCTTTGCAAGAAAAGGCGAAATTGAACGATATAAAATCATTCAAACTTACCTCTGCTATCGACTGCTCCTTTATAGGCCCGCTCAAAACGACATAATCTGATAACGATACTTGCTTCAAGCCGATGAATCTTACCATCTTCCGACTTGGGACGATTATTTTTTACTCGGCGTCGATTTCTTTAGAGGATTCTCTAGTCTCAAGCGATCGACGAAACCGACAGAGTATGTTACTTATGAGCCCCAAAAAAAACGAAATAGGCGCCCATATAGCACTAGACCTATCGGCTGAAAACAAGTCTATCCTTATCAGATTATATCGTTTTGGGCGGGTCTCTGAAAGAGCGGTCGACATCAGAGGTATGATTCATAATAAAAGCCGCAAGCTCGACATGAGGTCATCACATCGTCAGGTAAAACCATCATCTGACTTGGGTTAATTATTTTTTACTCGGCGACGATTCCTTTAGAGGATTATTGAGCCTCAAGGGATCGACGGGACCGAGGCAGTGTGCTACTTATGAGTCCCAATAGGACGATATAGGTGCCTATATAGCACTGGAGCTTTCGGCTCGAAACAAGTTACATCCTCATCCACTCCTAACTACTTGTCGACAATAAATTCTTTGCTTATTGCTCTGTTGCCAAAACCTATGAAACGACCTAATACAATGACGTTGAGTGATATGTAAAACATTCGATCCAAGGCAAGAGTTGAACTCGCCTTTCTGCCAAGGCGGAGACGTCTGCTTTCACTACACCACCAAAGCCACCGTTCTCCTACCAGTCTTACTTTAGTATAATTCATCGCAGCTGTTCACAACCAACCGCTGACAGGTTTGATGTCCCGTCTGGAGTTGAGTGTTTTGCATTTCACTCAACATCATCAGATATACTAGTGAAAGTGTTGACCCTTTCTTGTCTTAGCACTGCTGAAGAGATCGCGACGAACACCTACGACTACATCAGAAGCACGACGAAGTGACGCAAATGATGAAAAGAATGGATAAATACGAGCATAAATGTAAATATAAAGAATACATACATCTGGAGCTTCAAAGTACGTACATGGCAGCGAATCACCATACCCAGGGAATAAAACGTCGAAGAAAAACGATCCATTTTCTAACGCCGTGATCTCATGGATATTACCTTAACAACAGGAGAGAACTGTCATGGATTTACGAGATAGCAATCACAAGTAGAACCGAAACACTCCTCAATTAAGAGAGTTCAAACACTCTCTATACACATGTGTACAAAATCGTAAAAGAAACATACCTTCAGCAGGACACAGGTAAACACATCCGTCTCCTTTGTTCACTATTCGCTCGCCTTCATATCGCACTTTTACTTGACCTGAGAAGTGCTGGTCGAAACTATCCAAGAGCGAAAACGATTTCACCTAGAAAAAGGGACGCGTGAAAAAGGTATGTGCTCGGGATTGCTTGCAGACTTGGTGGTTATTATCCTGCTACTATAAAGAGGTAGTAAAGCAGTGGCACGCGCCTCTGGAATGAATGAAACACGAGTTCAACTCCTGCTCAATCGAATACTCTGCATGAATGGAATATCAACTGCCGGGACCTGTAATTCCTCAATTTTTTTTTGTTGAGAGGATAAGAGGTTGCCAGCAATACGATTTATCCACTTAAATACAGCAGAATAGCAATGGCTTACATTTCGGCGGTTTTTTCTCCTTCGCAGAGCCCAGAAAAGTCAAAATGACGCGCGATCAACACAACCAAACAATTTTATAGCCAAAGCAGATGAAATTCAATAAAGAGATGTTCAATCACATATTTCATAGTCAACGGCATCCATTGAGCAGTTATGTATATTCCCACTGATGTAGAGTGATGTGCGAATATTTCGCGTCACGCGGAACACGAACCACCTTTCACTCTGTCCGAGAGCGCGTGCTCTAACCCATTGCACTCCTGACGCCCGTTTTGCTCACCTTTTTTCTACGCTACAACGCATCCTTCTGTCAGCAATCAATCAATGGCCTTGCCTAGGTAGTCTCTATCGACATCCAACCTGAGTCACGCTGATTTATGTATATTAGTGATCAAATATGAAATATTTGTTAAAAGCTGACTACTAGGCGGCTGAACGTCTACCCATTCAAGCTTCATCTGCTCTGATCATGGAAGTGCTTGGCTGAGAGACTGCACGTAAATGTGATTCTTTCAAGTTCTGAAGAAAGACAAACTGCTGGAATGTCAGCCACTCCTATTATACTGTACTGTAGTCAATAATTCGGTATTGTTACGACCTTGTGAACGTCCAGGAAAGGAAGTATGGAATGACTTGCCCAATGCTGAGTTTAATCGATAGGGGGCTGGAACCTGTACTTTTAGTTTCGTCTACGCACTTTCATTAGATGAGAACAAAAAATTGTGTAATTACCCGAGTTTTCCGGTCTTTTGCGAAAAGAATTTAGCCTCTCGACTTTACGTCTAAGTATATCAAATCATTGGTGAAACGTTCTCATTGAAATACCTATCGAAATGTACAGATCCTTGCCAAACGAGACAGTAGATTCCTACTTTACAAGAAATAAATCTCACCGTTTTTCATGTGAGATTTTCAGTTACTTTCAAGAACGAAGCTCATACATCCAACACTAACACGTCGAATAAGAGAACGTTTGGTAAGACTGAAGGTGTAACCTATTTCATTACTGTATTTATCTCCGACTGTTTCTAAATTGATGTGGAGTGATGTACAAAACTTTCGCGTCAACGGGATTCGAATTCGCATCTCACTTCATCTGGTAGCGCGTGCGGAATTCCATTTGATCATCTGATAGCCAATACCTCTCAGCGTGACTGGGTTCAATG